CAAATACAGAGCATGACCTTGGAGCCGTGAATATTCGGTTTGGCCGACGAGTGGAAGCATGGCCGGGAACTCCCCATGATTTTCTGCGCTTGGGGTTATCGTAATGAACCCATTTTTCGTCCCTAGTCACAATGCGATGCAGAAATCCCTTCCGTCTTTGCCTTTCAAGCTGTTCACAAGCAAACAAACGCCGTTCAATATCTCTCAGCTTCAACTCGTACGGCACCCAATTTCCGTGCTTCTGAATCATTCCCATGACTTTGAGGTGTTTTGAAATGGCTTGTTGAGTCACTCCCAATGATCGTGCCAATTCTTCTTGATTTTGATACGAGTCTTGATCAAGTGCCTCCAATTCTGTATCTTCGAAAACCTTCTCTCTTCCACCGCCATGCCGGTCTTCGACGTCAAAATCACTGTTCTTGAAGCGTTGAAACCACTCACGACACGTTCTTTCACTAATAGCGGCCTCACCATAAGTATTTGAGAGCATTCGATGAGCCACGGATTTCTTTATATTGAAGCAGAAAATTAAAACCTCCCGTAAATAATGAGAATTTGGCTCGTAAACTGATATTTTCGAGAATAACTTTATGATGCAGACACAAATCGATTAATGTTTCTTGTATGACGTCTAGTTTATTGTATGACGTCTATGATCTATTTATTTTGACCACCACTTACCGCTAAAGCCATCTATAAGAAAACGGCGGAAGCAAAGTTGTACACCTAATAAAAAAAAAATTGTATAAAAAAAGTACATATATTTTCTTATATTATATATTATACATTTCCATTACATTCTTGTTATTTTAATTCATAACATAATTGTTTGATGTGTGTAATGTATTGTAATTATTAAATTTTATTCTTTAATTGTGTGTGTGTGTGTGTGTGTGTGTGTGTGTGTGTGTGTGTGTGCGCGTGTATGTCACATGTATAATAAGAAAATATATATATTATACTTTTATACGTACATACGTTTATATAACTTTATAAGTGTATCATATCAAATGCAATTTGAGCTTCAGGATGGATAAAAAAATGTTCTATATCTACCATTGGAATTGAGACCCAAGTTTTCTTTTTTATTCCACTTACATATTACTCATACTTATGTAGAAAAAGTAAAAGAAGTGACGAAAATGTCATTTAAACCGATTTTTAGAGCCGCTTAGCTATTTTTAGAGCGGACTTTGAGTCCGCTCCAATGAGTGAACTCCATTTTTCTAACGATATCAAATTTTCCGAGTGAATGACACTCATTTTAGATAATAGGAAGTAGGATGTTATAATTTTTTCTAAACTAATTGGACATCTGGGTAACTTTTTTTGTAACGTGCCGATAAACCGGACCGTAAATGTTCCCATCGAGTTACGATCCACAATTATTAGATCTCAATAAGAAACATTTTCTAAGAATCATGTTATTTTTTCAACGAGATACATTTCCTTACACAACATTTCCTACATTTTTTAAAACATTTTTTTTCATAAAAACCAAAAATTTTTAGTAGTAGAATCATAATAATAATGTCATATTTAAAGAAAAATTAGTACACAGTTTGTGTGTGTATGTGTGTATGTGTGTATAAGAAATTAATAAATTCTTATTTACATCGTTTTAAAATCGTTTTCAATTATACTCTAATAAATTTAAAAATAATTTATAATTGAATCAAAGTAACGCAAATTTATACTATTGGAGAGTGAGGAAATAGTAAACACCTAAATTAATAAAGCCAATAATTTATCAACTAATAGGAATTTTTTATTTAAAAAGTGTTGCAAATATTGGACGAGAGTCTTCCCGAATGTTGAGAGGCATCAGTTATCTCCTTTTCTATTTCATGCAGGAACTCTCTGAAACAACTATGCCTGGAGAGCATCTGCACCAAGTGGTATGACAGCCCGCCCTTGACTGCCCAACTACATCTTGAATCAGAGCTGGAAGGCCATGATAGTCACGCAGTCAAGGGAATCCGGGTTTAAGAGTTGCCTCTCCCATTCTTGAACTATTTCCCCCGTTCTTATGTTCTCATTATGTCCATGGCTCTACCCGTGAGCCGTCCCTCCTATGGACATCGTTTTCTTGACGCGCCAATACATCGGGATATCCGTGCAGCGATCCTAATCTGCATTGGATAATCGAGGCGCTTGATGCGCCTATTGATGGCCACCTCCCGGGCCTATATAAAGGACCAACATCACCGTTCTCACGAACAGGTGCTTAAATTTGATTAACACTCGAACCACTAAGATTGGCAGCAGGTGATCGAGCATGATTGCTCACTCTAAGGACCAAATGTTCAAAATATCTCCAGAGTTCATCCAAGGTGAGTCACAAATACTTCATCTAGCTGCCCATCTCGATACAGCTATCCCATCTGCAGAGAAGTTTGAGCGACTTTCTGGAAACTTTACCATAGAAGAATACAGCTTCTGTTTTGGGGGAACCACCTTCAAATCTATCTCCTGGATTCTCCGCACTACCCTCGCCACAGCTGCCTCAGCGTGGACTGTGACTTTCTGTCATGTTTTCCTGCCAACCACGACCAAGGTATCATCAGCGAAGCAGACCAAGTCGCAGCCGGGGAGGAAGGTGCAGAGAACAGCATCGTATACGAGATTCCATAGAAGTAGTCCAAGGACCGATTGCGGAATCCCGCAAGACAACACTTTAACCCCTGACTGTCATAGTCATTTATTAAATTCTACTACTTTGTCCAGAAAATAATCTCAAAAGATTTTTTTAAGTAGTCGGATGGACCATGACAATCGGCAACCCT